GGTAGTGGCAGTGGTGGTAGTAGTAGTAGTGGCGGCGGTGGCAGGCAGAGCGCGCGGGAGTCCCTGTCGGTGATCGTGCCGCCTCAGGACGTGGACGTGGACTCGCGCGACGCCGACGACTCGGAGCTCCTCAGTCCGGGCAAGCTAACGCCTACGTCGGGGATCAGCGTGTCGGTCGCGAGCATGATCGACGCGACGGACTTCAGGGCGATGCAGCCGGAGCCGACGTATCAGACCCTGACCTCGGTGGCGGAGAGGATGTCGCCGCCCGGTTTCAGTCCGGGCTCGTCGTACGCCACGCTGACGCCGCTGCAGCCGTTACCGCCGATCTCGACGATGAGTGACAAATTCGTTTACGGCGGTCACGCGGCCAGCGGCGTCACCGGCAGTTTCGCCGTCATGCAGAACAACGGCCTGGGTAACATCGGCCTCGGGATGGGCGGTTCGCCATACGCGTACGACAAGCTACCTACGATGGGCATGTCGCCGCCGCACAATTATCCGTCGCCGGGCGCGGGACTGCAACCGAGTCCGCTCTCACCTCAGAGCGCGTATAGCCAGAGCGGCCTCAATTCGCCGCACAAGTCGTCCGCGAGTCCGCATTATGACCCGGCTTTTCTGCCGCGGTTACAACAGAGCCCGGCGGCGCTTAGCCCGTCCTCGCCGCCGGCTGTCTCGGCTACGGCGAGTTTCGCGCCATCCCATCATTCTCCGCCTGGCACGCATTCGGTGCCAAGCGCGGCATCGCCGCCACCAACCATGCAGACGCAACTGCAGCAGCAGCAGCAACAGCAGCAGCAGCAGCAGCAACAGCAGCAGCAGCAGCAACAACAACAACAACAGCAGCAGCAGCAGCAACAGCAGCAGCAGTCGATGCCGCAGCAGCAGACGATATCGCACACGCAGCACGTGCAACATACGTCGGTGGTGATGAAGACGGTGTCAGCGGCGGGCAACGGCGGCGCCGGCGAGGTCGAGGAGATCAACACGAAGGAGCTCGCGCAGCGCATCAGCGCCGAACTCAAGAGGTACAGCATACCACAGGCGATCTTCGCACAGCGGGTGCTGTGCCGCAGCCAGGGCACCCTCAGCGACTTGCTGCGCAACCCAAAACCCTGGTCCAAGCTCAAGAGTGGTCGCGAGACCTTCCGACGGATGTGGAAGTGGCTGCAGGAGCCTGAGTTTCAGAGAATGTCGGCCTTGCGGCTAGCAGGTTAGTCGTCCACGCGTCAGAGAGAGACCCCCCCACCCCCCCCTCATTCACCACGTATACAAAACTCCCCCCCTCCACAAACCACTCAAATCGGAACACTCAGTCGCGAAAGTCCCACCTCTCTATCGTGTATACTTTTTGTGATACTTGTTCATTTCTGTAAGAAAAAGACGAGAAAATTATAACACTCGGATTTTTGATCGACGTTGTCGGTCATCGTCGTCGTCATCATCATCGTCGTTGTCGTCGTCATCGTCGTCATCGTCGTGTGAGTCCTCGCACACGTTAATACATATACGAACACCTGTAAACGAACATACGTTTGTGTCTCACCGCTTCATACACGCACACACACACACACACACACACACACACACACACACACACACATACATACACACACGTGTCTCGCTACTCGCCTGTGTTCTCGTCCTGCACATCCTTGATATCGATCGATCCATGATCGATGATTGCGAAATCCCTCAGCAACACCGACGCTCCACGTCGGGTCGTTCACCGGCATTTCGCGCCTGTTTAAAACCTATGTTTTCTAAACGATCCTTTAGATTTCCTAGTAAACTAAATATTTGCCATATCTCACTCTTTGACAGTGAATTTAAAACAGTTTCTAAAAGTTAATTAGTTGAGGATAAAAAAAGAACAAGATGAAATGTCAAATCTTTATTTTTACCTAAATGAGATTGAAGTAAAATATATAAATATGAAAATAAAAACGTCTTCCATGAATGATTTCTTGGATTTCCTAGTAAACCGAATATCTACCACATCTCATTCCTTGACAGTGAATTTAAAACAATTTTGAAAAGTTGACTCCTTTTTTTAACTAAATAAGATTAAAATAACAAAAAATAAAAATAAAATAATTGACGACCTAGTAAACCGAATATTCGCTACGTTTCACTCTTTGACAGTGAATTTCATAGTTTCCAAAAATTCGTAAGTTGAGAATGAAAAAGAGTGAAATACGATGTCCAATTTTTGTTTGAACTTTTTTTTTATTAAACAAGTCACCGTGTTGACAGAAAAGTAATACAAAATTAGCATTTCTTTAAATAATAAAAAGAAACATTTAAGATGAGCATATTATTTCTATGCAAAAGTTACACATTTGTCATCACATTGCTTACATTTTGTTATAATATTATGTTATGTGTCACAATCCGATAAGAGATGAAATTTACTTAACTTTGTACCGAAATTGCGATGTTCCAATTTTGAAACTTATGATATAGTTTTAAAAAATACGTTATAAATAAAAATAGGATAGGAAGAAAATATAATTATGAATATTTACTAACTTGACTAAAACATTGTTATAATTTAGAAAGAATTTTAGAAACGCTCCACTGGAAAGTTGCCAATTTTGAGTTGTGTAATTTTTGTACGTAGCGAAGTGTAAAATAAAATCATAAAGATAATATAGAAGAAATATATATATATATTAGTTTCGTTTAGTGAAAATAAATTCATCATTCTATGAAAATAAAATAAAAGAGTGTAAGATTTAAACACATTTAACAAAAACTGAGATTTTCATAACTAATTGAATATAATTATAGAGATCTGTAGATGCATTCACACGAGACGCACATGCATCCAAGCACAATTTAAAGATATCTTAAAAATAATTCTGTAAATTACACCTGCTTGACAGACCGCGTTACAAGTCTCCTTGGCGACACCCTTCGATTCAAAATAAACTATACCCTATCCGACGCTCCCCTCTAGAGTGAGCTTGGGAAAAAGCGCTTCTTCTCGAGTTACTTAATGTACACTGAATTCGAAATCGTATTAAATCGAAAATCTATTCAGTGAGCAGATCGTACACACAAAATGTCATTCTATGAAACATGATTTAATTTATTTTCTTTCAACTAACAGCTGTCTGTAACAAAGAATATTTTCTCAATAATAATATTTCAAAATATAGTTAGTACAAATTTCAGACGAACTAATGAGTTCATTAATATGTACTTAAAACAAAAAATTATTTTCTTTCGAAGGATATATTGTAGAATTGATCATATAAAAGTGATTTTATATAGCAAATCAAATTTGTTTTAATTTAATATCCTTGATTGATGTATTAAACTTAATAGGATTCAGAATACATTTCGAATAAATTTGATGCTTGTGGTGTGATGAACTTGTGATAGATTTGCAGATATATGATCTTTTGAAATATTTGAAACAATCGTTATTTGCGTACAATATGTATTTTTCTGTGTACAGCAGAACATTTACGATCTGATTGCAAAAAAGATTTGCTAATTTAACTAATGAACATTTTGCTCTCCGCGATTCGCAAATACAGCAGATTTTCATCTTTTATTAACATAACGGAAATCAATTTCATGTATCCGGAAATTGACTGTTCGGAATTACTTAACGTTTGCTATGTTCCAGCGGTTCCGAATTATCTTGTCTTTGTATACGCCTTTTAGTCTATCTAATAAATAAAATATTCACTGGCCATTCAAATTTAGCGACTCTACATTCGTGATCTACGCGAAACAGAACCTCCCTGTAATGTAGATAGCTAAATATTGAAAGCTATTGGCCGCATTCAGCAGGATGTTTATTTTGCAACTGTTGGAAGTTTTCTTCGTTGAGATAGGATTATTTTCCTCTGGATCTAAAAGTATTCTGAAAGTATAATCCAATCAGCGTGAAGAAAACTTCCAGTAGTTGCAAAAAGAACACTCTGGTAAACACGCAGCCATTAGATTAGGCACTAATGTGACAAGTAACCGAACGAATGTTTTTATGAAGGGATGACAAAAAAAAAACAGAGAAACCACATATCGGTTGCTCGAAAGTGCCAAACACGTCCGCTTTGAAATCCACTTCTCGAGAGCGGGGAATAACGGGACCCTCCTCTTCTTCTGTCGATTTAAGTGAACTCTGGGAATAAATGACGCCAAGGATCTTCGCGAGGATGATAAAGCAGGGGAGATAACGTTACTCGGAGATGCGCGCGAGAAAGGATCCGCGCGCGCGCTTCGCACGCGCGCGCGGAGAGCGGAAGCGCACACGTGGCACCCACGTGGGAGAGGCGTTCCCTTCCATATCATTCAGAGATAGACGCGCGGAATAACACTTTTCGAATTCAACATCCTTCGTCCCCGGCGCGGTGCGCGGTGCGCGACGCTCGGCGTCGCGGCGCTCGCCGCGCCGCGCCGCGTCACGCCGCGCGTGCAAGTATTATTCGCTTTCCGGAGCCGCCATGTTCGCCACGCCGTCGCCGTTGTCGTCGTCCTCGTTGCCGTTGTCGTCCTTCTCTCTCTAACTCTTTCTTCGTCTCTTCCTCATTCACTCCCTCTTGTGGACCACCCTCTTCCATCCAACGGAAACCGCCGCGCGGGATTCGCGATTTTAGCGTCACTCGAGTGCGATCTTCAACGGTAGAGTGATCTTCTTTGCGTTTTGACTTTTTTTTGTATAACATTCGATACAGTTCTCTCTCAAATATTTGCAGAATATTCTACTTGGATTTTTGTAGAGTATTATTGTACTTCAATCTTCAGGATTATTCAGATTCTTTGCATGAATCTAATGTATCTAATAGATTTCGTGATTGCTATACAAATGTTAGTTGCTGCGACATTAATTTCTGATAAATCTTATGAATTTAGTATTAATTCTTTTAGTATAAAAATGATATCTTGCTTGAATTTTAATTTCGAAAATTATCTATCTTGTGATGAAATTTTCAGTTTCACATTTTATTAAAATTTGTTGAATTTAAGTAAAAAATTTCGTGTAATCTACTTGCTTTATTTACTACAATATATACAATTATATACATTCGAGGTCATTAATGCCTTTTCGCTTGAAATTAGTTGCATTTCAAGCAGACACATCGTATCTATAAGAGAGGTACATTATAATTAAATTCGAGCGATGTTGGATTAACAATCACGATATATATACAAACACCTAAATGCAATCTGTCTGAAATGCAGCTAGTCGAACAAAAAGCATATTATTATATTTTCCACGTGTATACTAATTGCAGAGCAAAATCTTTGTCAATGAATTATAATTTTAAATTATTAGCATCTCGACTTCAAGCTTGTCATAGAATTATTGAAAAGGATCCTTTCATTCTTCTATTTTCGTCGCATAAATAAGATGCAATCATACAAAATGTATCTCCATTTGTGTAAGACACAATTTTCATAATAACGTAAAAGAACGATAAATGACAGTGAAGTTGATGTCCTATTATTTTAATGGACGTCAGAACCGAAAGGGTTAAACTCACGAACTGTGAGATATTCTGTATATATTCCATAGCTCAAGGTGTCCTTTCTCAAACAGTATAGTATAAACCGCTACGTAAACGCGACTCTCTCGTTAGGAAAAGCGTTAAAAAAATGCTCGTCCTTTCACCTTTTTTCCATTTCACTTTTTCTCTCTCTCTCTCTCTCTCTCTCTCTCTATCTATCTATCTATCTATATATCTATCTATCTATCTGTCTGTCTGTCTCTATCTCTCTATTTTCTGTCGCTTCTTTGCGGGCTTACCGAGGCATGCAGATAATGTCGGGAAGAGGGACTACCTTTACAGTTACTGTTCTACCAGTAGCCCCTCGTGGTACGAAACTCTCTTAGGATCGTGAAAAAGGCCGATGGGGAGCGAAGAAAAGGCGCGGCAAGGCACGGGAGCAAAGGGTTCGCCAAGAAGAGACAATGCTGAAGAAGAAGAAGAAGAAGAAGGGTCGATTCAGTGCTCTTCCAGATTAGAGCCTCCGCTATTGTTTCCCACGTGTCTTTTTCTCGTTCCTTCGCCCTTCTCTCTTTCTCTTTCTCTCTCGCTCTCTCGCGAAAATCAGTCTCCTTAGAACGCATTCACGGCTTCGCGCGAAACCTCTAAATCTAATTTATTGCAAGTCTAACAGGACACGAATGAAATGACTGTCTGTAATTTGAAAAAAAATCTTGAGAAGTGATTTTATCGGTATCTCTAGAAATTG